GGAACGCAAAGCTGCGCACCAAGCAGAAGTAAACAAAGCAAAACAAGCTGAAAACGAACGCAAGGAGGCTGAAGAATGGTCTATAGGTGCAAAAGATTCCGTTAAAAAAGAGTCACAAAAGCTTAAAAGGGTACGATCTTAGTTTCCAAATTGATCCTTTTGATCCTTTTGATCCTTTTGATCCTTTTGATCTAAACAAATTGAACGAATAAAGAAGTCTTATATAACATAAACACTGATTGCATATTTGAACCTTGTTCCTATTTATATAGGAAGCACAATTGGCCAAGAAAAACGAAGCCGCTCGATTGCTGGAACAAGAAGAAACCGAACTTTCAAAATACAAGCCAGTATTGAAGTTGACAAATAAGTCCGGCGAAGAGGTTTATAAATTTTTTTTTTTTCTTGATTGATTTACTTATATTTAGTCTCTGTATATTAATTGAGATTCTACAATTTAGAAAAAAGCTATAAAACGAACACAAGTTCAAGAGCGAGCAAGTGCTGAACGAAGAGTAATACCAGAGTTTTCTGCTTCTAATATCGATGATGCTATAGATTTGATGACTGTCGTCACAAGTTCATCAACAGCTGTAGGAAGTGCTCCAGGACAGGCTGGCGGTATTGACAGACATCCTGAAAAACGGTTTAAGGTTTATATTCTTTATTGATCTTGTTTAATTAGATTAATTTTATCTATTTTCTAAAAAAGTATTTATTGTTATTGCCAGGCTGCTTTGGCCGCCTATGAGGAACGTGAAATGCCAAGGGTTAAAGAAGAACATCCAGGTTTGCGTTATACACAATATCGGGAAATTATCTACAAAAATTTCCAGGTTAGTTCTATTTTTTCATGTCAATTTTCTACTTTAAAATTTTGAAAATTTCAATAAATTCTAATTTAAAAAAAAAAAATTCTGATCAAAAGAAATCACCAGAGAATCCTTTCAATCAGTTAAATATTATACGATACAATTCTACTAAACAAGAGCAAGAAACCTTGATAGAATCAGCGAGAAAGGATGTAGAAGATCGACTAAGAGTTTAAGAAAATTTTGAATCAGGAGAATCTTATATCGCATATGATAATACATTATTACTTGTTTTTGATCTCTGTATATTCGAGAATTAGAGTGTAGAGTTTTATATACGTCCAATTGTTTATATTGTATAGCATATAGTTTTGCATTTGGGGTTCTCTGGAAGGTTAAATGTAAACGGGGTTATTATAATGATAATAGTAAATCAATATATTCATTAACCATCAAATGTATTATCACGTAATTAATTATTGTAGAAAAGGACTTTAAAGGATTTGTAATATCATTCTAGGTGAAAAATATAATTACTGGTAAAGCACTGCATTTAAAGATCCTCATATTTTGAATTATTTTTTTTTCGTAATAATTATTTGGTTAATTCTATAATTTAATATAGTTATATATTTAACTTTGGTCAAATAATCTTTTATTTAATAATAACTTCAACATTTAACAGAGTGTATAAGCAAAAGCACAAATATTCTTTTTCCTTCACCGTAAATACATATCGTATTACTAGCTATGAGTAATTTTATTACTTCTGATACTTGCATTTATTAATATCAAATATAGCAAGTTAAAAGAAATTCATAAATAATATTTCACCTAATTAATGTTACGTATTATGACTGTAGTTGGCGCATTTTACCATATGAGTGCGGGAGAGGGAAAAGGGGCGCACCCGTTTTTTTAGTAAATTATTGATTATTTATCAGGCCTACCGAATAATTGATTGTGGGGGCAATTAATTGC